TGCAGCTGCCTCCTCATCGCTGCCCCCAAAACTGGTGATGAATGTGATCTTCTCCTCACGGCCCGGGGTTGGGGAACGGGAGCGGGAACGGGACTCGGAGCTGGATTCCGAGGGTGACCTGCAGGGCAGGGAGAGGGGAAAGCTCAGGCACCCGGGCTCCTTGGGTCTGACCAGCGAGCAAGACATACTGCAGAGTGACAGAAGTGATGACCACAGGGCAGAGAGCAACGCCAGAAAGCCAGCACGGATGAACTGAGCTGAGGGGGCAGAACGAAACCAGCTCTGATGACCACCATGAACCCACTTATTAAACATGCAGAGCAGACCTATGTACTCAAAGTGGGAAGTTTTCTTCAGTATACAGATATTGGGTTGTCGAATAAGTCATGACGTATTTTTTTCTATGAGAAAATGCATCATGACTTTCCCAACAACCCAACAGATGGACAAGCCAAAAAAACAAGTTCTGCCATTTTAACGTGGTACCATTGCATTTTTATTAAAAGCATCCCTGACAATCCTGAGTATTTAATACTTATCTATTGGGTTGTCAGAAAAGTCATGACATATCTTTCTATGCAAAAATGTATCATCACTTTTCCAAAGACCCAATATGCTGCTTTTACTTCACGAAAAGCAACATATCCCTTATATCTCCTACCCTGCCAACAGCCACAGGACGCAATTCCGTTCTCACCCCATTCTGCAGAGGGAGCCAGGCTTCAGAGAACTACGGAGCCCCCATTCTGAAGAGGGAGCCAGGCTTCAGAGAACTACGGAGCCTGGATGAGGGGAACTGGAGGCAGCCGGGTCTGTGCCCCCTTGAAGCCCCACCTAAGCCACTCCCTCCCAGCCGTAGCCTCGAGGAGACAAGCACGCACATCTTGTCAAACAGCTAGCCATCCTGCACCGGTTACTCTCCACTGGCTATTTCTGTGAGTTTTGATTAACAAGATTTTTTATCTCTACGTCACATCCTTCTCCAACGTTTGAATGTTTTTACCACAAGACTGCATTACAGTTAAATCAGAAAAACAAACTAAAGAAGTTTTAAATTTTAGAAAAGCAAACTTGGGAAAGTAGGTTAACGATCTGGAAGACACGAGAATGCTTTAGACCCACCCCACCCCCCAAACATATCACATATGATCTTGGGGCAACCTAGCAGAGTGGGCCTCCTACCCATCCCCCACCACCAGGGACTTCCTCTCCGCAGAACCGGGGACTTACCGTTTATAGGGATCGTAGGTGGGGCTGTCTCGGCGGGCATAGCTATAGAGATAAGACGGGGTGGAACAGGTCGGGGGTTGGGATCTGAGTAGGCACGAAACTGGGCCAAGTCCCCCAACTGAGGGCCCAAGGTCATGCATTCAGCACAGTGGGGAAGGGAATGCCGGCCATGGGCCTTGCCTTGATCCTCCCACCTGCTCTCACCTCAGCGCTATCTAAAGCATGGACCTTGGTCCCACTCGACAATGTCCTGGATCCCTCCTGACTCTGGTCCTGCTTGGCCTCCTCACCTTAGAGGCACCCTTCCTCCCCCTCCACATCCCCAGCCCTAACTGCATCCTGTCTTGAGTGGTGACAGTAACTACTGTAGGTAACAGGCCTCTGCTGCTTACTTATGTGCCCAACTAAGTGCTTTATGCTGATTCATTCGGCGGTCCCTCATGACAACTCTCCACGTGCATACCATGATCATTCACACTTCACAGTTGAGGAAACTCAGACCCAGAGACGGAGCTGCTTGCTCAGGGTTACACAGCTGATAAATGAAGAAATTAGGGCTGACCTAAACCCACCCCGTAGCCCTGAGCCCGTGTTTCTGTGTGCTACGCTGATGTGAGCTCCGTGCTGATGACGCCAGTGAGCATCAGGGCTGCTCCTTACTGGATGCTTATCACCAAAGCCTGAACCTCGGCACGCTGGCTAAGGCTCAAAGCATCCCTCAGTCGCTCTCCTTTACAGCTGTTGTCAAACGAGGCTTGGGTTTACACAGCCCACTGAGCCTGAAGGCTCTCTCTGGAGCCTCGGACCCAAGCTGGACTTTATCCCAGTGTCATACCGCTTCCCAAACTTCCCAAGACCCCCACGTGGGGATTTCCCCAGCCCTCTCTCCTGACTGGTGACTGCCCCATTTTCCAAAGGAGGAAACTAAAGCACAGAAAGGGGATGTCACTGACCACTCTGACAAAAGAAGTGGCCAAGCAACAAAACTGGGTCAGAGTCCAGGCCCAGGCCTAGCCTCCAACTCTGCCCTTAGTTTTTCCCACTGACTCCTAGGGAGTCCACCAGGGCAAGAAGAGCAGTCGGCAGGGAACAGTGTCCAGATCCCTTTAGGCCACGCATCCCTCTAAGCGGTGACTCGGGCCATTTAATGCCCCACCTGGAAGACTTTGCTCTAGTCACACATCTGCCCCAGGAGCATGCCTGGGCTCTGAACCCTGCCCACCCTCCACCCCCACCCCCAGCCTCTAACCAACACTGGCAGAGTAGGGGGCAGGAGCTCAGGGAGGTCCTACCTGGGAGGGCTGATCTTGCGGCCTCTCAGTCGTTTCTCCCGGAACTCCCTCCGCTGGCGCCGGGAGCGTCGGCCCTGGGGTAGGGTGGGTGCCAGGATGGTGAGGGCTGTTCCCTCCCTGAGGCTCAGCCCTGACTCCAGTCCATCCCTGCCCAGCTCTCACCGAGTACATGGCCTTCTCCTCCTCAAGGGCCTTGGCATGTTTGATGGCCTCAGCCTCCTCCTTGTCTTTCCGAAGCATTCTGCAGTGGGAGTGAGAACCACAGTGGAGGAGGGTGCAGGCCATAGGAGAAGATGGCACTGACAGAGGGAGGGAACTCTAGTGACCAAAAGGTGAGGGACCTCGGGCCATCCTGTGGTGACCTTCGTCCATCCACCAAGGCTGGCCAAGCACCTCCTGTGTGCCAGATGCAATTATCTGTGGTATGAAAACTCAGCACAGATGAATGCGAACAGAAATCCCCACCTGCATGGGCTTACACCCTGAGGGAGCAGACAATGACCAAGGTCATAAACACAGGTTCCCTTAGATGAAGCCAACTTTGGTGGTAAAAACAAATTATGGGAGGAGGAAAAAGAGTGCCTGGAGACAGCAGCGGGTGCACTCCTCAACAGGGAGGGAGATCAGAGAAGTCATACAGAGGAAGAGCTATGTGAGGAGAACCCTGGGGGAGCAGACCATGCAGACACAGGTACAGTGAATAGCAGACAGAGTGCCCCGGAGGGCAGGCCAGGCCTCAGGCTTTTGAGGCATAAAAAGAGCATAGAGGGGACCAGCAAGTGGCGTGGTGGGTATGGTGCTGGACATTCCAACATGGCTGACCATGGTTCAAATCCTGGACCTGGTGGCTTTCTTTCTTTCTCTCTCTCTGTTTATCTCTGGTCAAATTAAAATAAAAGAATGAACAAACAATTGTTAAAAAAAAAAAAAAAAGAAGAAGAAGAGCATATAGACAGGACCAGCAGATGACATAAAGGCTACGTTGCTGGGCTCCCACGG